TACATCGCCATCGGACACGTGGATAGGCAGTGTTCTAGGTTTCACGTATGTGCTGTGCCCACTCCCCGCAACGGGAGCAAATAGGGGGGAAAACTCCTGCTTGTTATAAGTTAGTGTGTGTTGTGACCTAGCCTGGGGTCGGGAGGCAGCGATGTGTGATATGCCATTGCAGGGCCCTATGGGAAGTCGGCATTATGTGAGCATAGGTGGACCAAGGAATACAATGCAACTGCTCTTGCATCGGTAAATCCCTTTTCCACCGGTTTGGCATCACCCTTGTGGGGTCGTGAAGTTCATATGCTTGTTTATATCCTCTGCGCACTGTATATTGCCAGATCGGCACTGGTTCGCGGCCTTTCCAGCCCCGCTCTTCAGGGTTGTCTGGGAGGGCACATACCAAGGTGGCCATCTCATAGGCAAAATATCCTAAGTCCTCAGTGCCTACTACCCTTATCCTGGACACGTCTCCCTCAGGAAGTATACAATCCGAGTTGTCGTTTCTTTTTGGGGAGGACCAGCGTGCCCCTGGTACATCTGGTGCGTAGGCCTGTAAATGTACCCCTTGGTTCGTAATGTGGCCCACCCTGAATATGGTCATAGGGAACGAGTTAGAACTACAATTTATAACCCAGTCTTGATTACGCACTTATGGTCCTTCCTTTAGTGCTGTCACCCAGGGGGTTGGGACCGCACTGTGGATGGGGTCGAGTTTTTCTGGAGTTTCCTTAATTTATCTCATGTTCGGTTGTAGTTGTTGTGTAGACTTCCATGTGCCCCTCCGACTTTCCCAGAGGTCCCTGACTGTGAAAAGACCATTCCTCACCCATGTTAACCAATGTGAGCCGGCTTCCAGAGAGAGTGACATTCCTGTTTCATTGCAGATGTCCGGGTTTCCAAACAACGACTGTCGTCATATCTCTTGCCATCTCATGGTTTTTTTTTTTGGCCAGTCTCATCTGCCACCACAGGTGGAGCGTTGTTGTTCACATGGGGTAATGTTAGAGATCTCATCTCACTCTATTTCTTACTGATCTATCCTTTACGTGGCAAGGGGGACTGGGCACAAACTAGGGCGTGTTTGTGAACTATGTAAGTGGATGAATCTTAGTGTCATGGTGAGAGGGAGGGGCGAGGTTGGCCAGCTGTATGTATTCCAGCGACGATCATGAGAAACTGTTTGCGAGCAGCAGACAGATAACTTGAATGACTTTAAACATAAGGGCTTTGGCCTCGTCTCCCAGATCTATAATGCCCATACCACCTACTCTCTTTAGTTGGGACACATATTTTCATGCCACCCTTTTCAGACAACCCGTCAGCTTGTGGCCGTTTCTCCACAAGTAGGCTGTCAGTGTTGCCCGCAGATGTTTGAGGTATCTTTCATGGATTTCCTCAAAAGCCGTTTTGTACCAGATTGTGATGAGGATGGCGTTGTTTATTGCCAGCGCCCTACCTACCAACAATATGTGGAGGCCATCCCATTTCGCAAGTCTTTGGAGCGCCATTTGGACCAGGGTCTGACCATGATCTGTGGGGGGCCCCACGACCGTCAGTCGGATCCCAAGGATTTCATATAGTTTCTTCTTTGGGGCGCCAATTGACCGGTGGTTGCTACGAAGGCTGGGAATCTAGTGGGGAGAGCGACCAACCTTTCGTCTTCGTTCCCCAGTTCATTTTCATATCTGCAGCAACAGTAAAGGTTTGAATTATTTTGGTTAGGGCTCGAAGAGAAGCGGTTGAGGCTCGGATGAGGACGACCGGGAGCGTTGTGCCCCCACCGGAGCAACTTCAGACACGAAGCGGCGTGACGCGGGATGTGTCGATGAGCCAGGCGATGCGATGGGCGGAGACGCAAGGATACGAGGTGAGCGAAGGGCACGTACGGAAGAGTTGGAGACAAGGTGGACGGTGGCATATGGTGGCGCACGGTATACGAGATGGGGTATGTTGGGCAGTGACGGGGAACATTCACGGGTAGTAAGGTAAGGGGAGGAGGGTGGGGCAGATGGGCAGGGGGTGTGGAGCCGCCGGACTAGGTTAGGGTTTGTCATCCTTGGTTGAAAACCCTTCCTTCTTCGTTGAGTAGGGTATGGGTATAGTTTAGGTGGTTTTGAACCCCCTGTGGCAACTCGTCAACAGGTTTGGCGAGGGAGTGTCACACCGTCTTTGATTTTCTTTGGGGAATTGAAGATGGTCGATCATGTCCTTGGTGCCTGCTTTGCTTTGAGCCTAGATGCTGGTTGAGGGAGGAAAGGAGTTTTCCTTCCCCAAGGATGCAGGGGTAGGGTTTGAGGGGTGTGAGGTAACAGTGGTTTGGTTGAGGAAGAAGGGATGGGAGTTGACTGCTTTCTATTGGATTATGATTCTGCCCCCGCATGGCTTGGATGTCTGATTTGGGGCTGTTTTTCTCTAATTTTTTAAGAGCTCTCATACATAATTGCTTGAATTAGTTCACGTTGCATCAGTCTACACTTAGTGTCCTTCTAATCCTCTTAGATGGTTTATATATGAAAATTTTCTCAATACTTGTATTTCGTGAGAAAGAGTCATAATCTGAAACTCGTAGTTATAATGTTTTCAACAAGACTTTTTCAATTCTCAATTTTCATAATCGTTTTCCTCTAGTGGCATTCTCAAAAGTTTCTGAATATTTTTTATCCCTCTTTGATTTTCTTCTTAATTTTTCCACGGTAGAGGTTCGAAATCTAATGAACGTCGTTTTTTGAATACCTAATTTTAACTTCATATTATCTCGTATCTCTTTTCTTAAATAGTATATCTTGTATAAATTTAATTCCTGTTTGTAATCGAATTCCTACGTTTTGTGAGTTGATACATGTTTTTTCTAAATTCGACCTAATTCTATTCGTTAGACTATCGTTAGACTTCTGATCAGGGGGCTCATGAGATGGTCAAATGGAATCTCCCGTAGGGTCCGGGGTTTTCTTGCTTTGAAGTAGGGGGTGAAAGGCATCAAAGGATTCTTTGCAAGGATAGAGAGGGGGTAAAATAGGGCTGGTCAACGGGTACCGGCTAGGGGGAGCCTTTAACAGATGCGATTGGCGTTGGGTAGTTAGGCTGTCTGATGGGTACCGACTGTTGAGGGCGACCTTTAGCGCGATTGGTGTTGGGCAGTGTTGTTCACTTCCTTGATGACGGAGTCTGAATTTCTTGTGGGGGCAAGGAATTTTAGGGTGATGGTGGTGCCTCCCCCCTGCTGAGATAAGTTATTCTCTGGGCTCCTTACGAGGACGAAGTTGGGAAGGTGAATAAGGTCCTTCCCCTCGATGATGGAGGCGGGATCTTTCGGTTCGTCTGTTTCAGGACTTGCCAGTTTCTTATTTTTGTTTTATATTTCATCGGACAATTGTCAGAGGTTCGTCAAGTTATCAGAAATCGTCAGAGTTTTTTTTGTAGCCAAGGCTTGGTAATGGCTCTGACATCTCATTTTTTTCCTATTAAAAACCTAACGGGGCATCTTGTAAAACTTTTGGGGACCTGCTTTCAAATAAGGGCCCAGGGGCATCAAATGATTTTTTACAAGGACGGAAAGGGGGAGAAAATAGGGCTGCTCGATGGGTACCGACTAAAGGGGACTCTTATCAGATGCGATTGGCGTCAGGTAGTTTACGCTGGCTGACGGGTACCGGCTGATGAGAGGGAACTCTGGCGCGATTGGCGTTGGGTAGTCCTAGTTCACCACCTTGACGACGGAGACTGAGATTCTTGTGGGGGCAAAGAATGTCAGGGTGATGATCGTGCTCGACCCCCGCGGAGAAGAGGCTCTCTGAAGTTTTTCACGACGACGGAGTTGGGAAGGACGGAGGTGATTGGGAAGGAGTAAGTTGGTAGTGGATACGATTGGCGCCGAAATTTCGGCGGGTACCGGCCACTGGCCGCTAACTTCACCCGGATCAGTCTGCGTTTTTTCCCTTCAATGATGGAGGCAGGATTGTTCTGTGGGGCTATTTTTCCAAAAAGAGGTTGAGTGGGATGAATAGATGGTTGGATATCAAACGTCCTACTAGTGAGGGGGCTAGCTTGTAGGATGGAAATAGGGTACAACAACAGTGGAAATGGTGACTCTGATGCAATAAGTCTTGCCGGAGTAAGGTAAAGTGGATATGATGGGGGGGTCTCTGAGTTGTTTTCTGAATTTTGCCTAATTAGAAGCTTCTGTAGTAAAAAAAAAGAATAAGGTGAGTGGAAGATGGTGGGTTATCACGCGTCCTACCAGTGAGGGGGCTAGCTGGTAGGATGGGAGTATGGCATAGCAGCAGCAGAGATGGTGGCTCGACTGCAGTCAGTTTTGCCAGAGTGAGGTAAAGTGGATAGATGGGGGATCTTCTGAGTTGTTTCCGAATTTTGCTTAATCAGGAAGTTGTCATAGACATGTCTGAAGTAGCCTCAATTCTTTGAGCCAAAGCCGGGTAATGGCCCCGGTATCTCAGCTTTCATAGTAGTTTTTCGTCGCATTTTCATGGAATTTTCTGATGAGTTTTCTGAACGTACTCGTTATGGGACGCTGGGCCCGGTTCCAGTTTGTGCCAATTTGTGCGGAGAAAAAAAAAAAAAAAAAAGGGCTGCGTTCCCCTCGCCCACGCGGTAGACAATAAAAAGTTGATTTAGGGATATAAAACACACCCCTGATGGGCGAACAATCCCTAAAGAATGTACTGGGACCTTTACGGAGCTTAGGAGTAGGTGTCGCTGTGAAATCCAGAGACAGAAATGGCCAAAACCAGATGTCTGTCCGGATACCCACCCACCCTGAAAATAAAAGTGCCTCAGGGTTGAAAATTACCACGCAAACCAGAACCACCTCAAGAAACAGCACCTCACGGCGTGTAAAACACAATCCAGAGCCGAACAACCCTAGGGGAAAAAAAAAAAAAAAGGTCATCAAGGCCCTAAATCTTTACGACGTTATGATGTGTTTGCGGCCTCCGCACTGGATGTCGCACTGTTTTAGAGCCTACAACGACAACGTTGATGCGACGGGGCCCAGGCTTGACTCTCGACTCGCTGCTCTGCCTTTTATTCTACTCTGGAGTTCCGACTGGCTACTCGGACCGTCTACTACCCTTCGCTGGAGTCGTACACGTGTGTGTGTGAGAGAGAGAGAGAGAGAGAGAGAGAGAGAGAGAGGACTCTTCACTGGCTGCTTGAACTCTCGACTCCCTACGCTACAAATACACACACTCATCGCACACACATACACAGACACATATATACCGACACATTCATCACAACAGGAGTTCATTTTGCAGCGCGGTTCGTGCGGACATGTGGTAGCGAAGCCGTTGCTGGAGGTTGGGCTCTGCACCGTGAAGGTTGAAGACGCTGAGGCCGCCATGAATGAAGGTGAGTTAACCTTTCACGTGCATGTGTGTGCTTGTGCTCAGTTCTATCTTTTTCGTTGTGTTTATTTTTCTGCTTTTTAACTTTTGTTCTGTCGGTTCTTTGCCACGTCGTGTGTTCGCAGACGCGCGCGTGTGTGTGTGTGTGTGTGTGTGTGTGTGACAGAGAGAGAGAGAGGAGGAGGAATTTGCCAAAGGAGAACAATCTATGGCACGTCGATTGAACGAGCGCGGGTGCGCACGCACATGATGGAGCGGGAGGGGGGGGGAGGGTGAAGGGAAAGAGCATGATTCATGTGTCATCCCCTGAGGGGACATGCTAATCTTCTCTGTATCGATCCAAGTTTGACGAATGGGGAAAGCTGTGTGTGTGAGAGAGAGAGAGAAGGGGGGGGGGAGGAGCATGAAGAAGAGCATGAAGAAGAGCACGAAGAGGAACAGAACGATTCATTCATGTTATTCCCGGAGGG